GAGGCTCAAAGCATGTAATAAACCTACCTAAGCTAACCTATCCAGTGGCTGGTCCAGGATTTACCTCCAAGTCATTTGATGACTTGACCAAAGGATTTTCCCAAGACAACACTTCTCAGCAGCTGGCATTATTGGCAGAAGGGCAAGTTCCCTCCTTGTAAAAGGGTGGTGCTCGTAGTTTCTTTACAGTCTTGCAGGGTGATGTCTCCCCAACCCCACAATTTGAAAAGTAGCCAATAGCTGGGCACCAAGTAATAAGATCTGGGTTCTTTACAATTACTATTTTACTTTGCTAATGGGGTGACTTAACAAGACTCCAATTTTGAAAGAAACTGACAGGTCCTTTGAATTTGTATTTGGTTTATTTTTTGCATTCTTTAAAAAAAATATTTGTATATATTCATAGGGTACAAGTGCAATTTTGCTATGAACTTGTATTTGAATGCTAATTCAACTCGTATCCATTGAGGTACCTGAGTAAATAATATAACCCCTCTGAATCTGCCCTGCTAGGAAGCTTTGAGAATTAAAAAAGAAAGAAACCTAGTAAGGATTCAACAAATATTATTTGCCCTCTGTGCCACTTTGATACTTAGTTGTTAGAAAGAATTAACCCTTTGCACTCCCGCTTGCTTTTTTCTCATTATCCACTCGACATTATCCACGCTTGACATCCGAGTGCAAAGGGTTAATAGAACATAAGACAAATGTCCTTCATGTTGGCAAAAGGTAAACACAGTCTCCTAAAAATAAACCAGTGGTTCTCAAAGTACGGTCCTAGGACTAGCAGCCTCATCACCATCTCTGAACTTGAGAAAAGTTTAAATTTGGGGGCCTCACCACAGACCTTCCAAATCAGAAACTTTAAAGGTGGTGCTTAGAAATCTGTTTTATAACAAGCCCTTCAAATGATTCTGATACAGGTTAAAGTTTTAGAATGATTCTTGTGAAGGTACCTTCAGCTTCTTTGAATTCTAAGTCATCGTTTTTCTTCCCTTCAGCCCATTACTTTTCAGTACTTATTTCTAACAAAAGAGAAAAATGCATAGATTTCTTAAATCAGTGTTCCTCAAAATACAATCCATAGGCCAGTTGTATCAGAATCACTTAAGGTAATTTTTAAAATTATAGATTCCTGGGCCCCACACCAAACTACAGAGTTGGAATCTCTGAAGAGTAAACGTAAAGATATGCATTTCATAGGCTCTCTGGATGAATTGCCCATTCATCGAAATTGTGAATTGTTCTGTTACAATAAGCACAGCATTACCAGTAACTGAGTTGTGTGACAATCAATACAGGATTACTGGTAACAGAGTTGTTTAACATCACAATGTGAAAATTAGTTCTTCTATCCCAGGTTAGATAAAAAGTTAGATAGAGGTTGTTTAATCCAGTGCTGGCCAGAAATATGACTCTAAAATACAATTAATCCCACACTCTATTGGCATTGAGATCTCTGGGACCCACGTTTTATTTGAACAACATGGCATTGGTGGCCAGTGAGGCTGGCCAAAGCCCAGTTACCTCATATTTGGCTTAGGAAGAATAGCTGTTATTGCAACATCTCTGTGAGAACAGGAAGGCCTGAGGAGACTACAGAGGAAGAGGCCCTAAACCACATGGATCCACATAGGTTTCCATTTCTGTGCAGGCAGTGTTTTTGCATCCCCAGAGTTTTTGGCTGACAAAGGATATCAAAGAATATAAGGAAAAAAATGTGCCTACTGTGGCCTTTCCCACTTTCTATTCTGGGTTTCTGATAAAACGTGATTTTACTCTGTGGTTTTCTATAAAAACTTGTACTTTCATTTCTTCTTTCTTCTTTTCTTGATCCCATTTCTAAGGTTCATCATCATCTAACTTTAGGCCTCACTCTTCCTCTCATTTAGATAAACTTATTCTCTTTCTATGGGCTCGTTTTTCTCACTTTTCTACTCACAAGTTAAATCAGTCTTGTCTTATTCATTACATACAAAAGTTGAACTGCCTAACATGGAATCTCACCTTCCCCTTTGTAATTTCATGCACTTACAACAACGTGTCTAGGTCATTTTGAGAGACACAGGCTATGTGAATTCTCTGTTCTCCCACAACCCTTCTCCAGCCAAACACATAGGTCCTCAGGAAGTTCAGATAAGAAAATAAACCCAGGAGAACATCAGTGGAAATGGTGGCATAAGGATTTTAAAAGTGGTTTCTCCATAAAAGCAGAGAAAAACCTGCCAAAAATTATCACAGTTAACTTATTCAGGACTCTGGAAATTTTAAAAAGCTTACAGCAACTGGGGAGTGTTTATTCAAGAAAAATGGATGAATATCTCTAAGAACAGGAAACTTTATGACATTTCAACTTGTCCTAGTCCTATCTCCTGCTTCTCAGCTCAGCTGTAGCTTTAAAAAATAACAGCCCATAATCCTGCTACAGACTGGCAGACACCAGAAAAAGTAAAAAAGGAGCTAGATTTATTTAAAAACTTTATTCCCAAAGACTTATTATTATTTGACATGTCTGGTGATTTCCTGGAAGACTGCACTTACAAAATTGACTCAAAGCTAACTTACTATGAAAAGCTTTCTCCACAGGATAAGAGATAGTTTGATCAAGATTACCCAGTCTGAGGGTAAAGAATGAAGAAAAAGGAACAGATCCTGAGAGACTTGTGGGACACTATCACACATACCAGCATAAACATAATGGGAACTCCAGAAGGAAAGGAGAAAAAGAAAGTGTCAGAAAGACTATTTGAAGAAACAATGGCTAAAAATGTCCGAAATTTGATCAAAAATATTAATTTTTACATTCAAGAAGCTAAGAGATTCAGAACTAGACACATCATAATAAAACTGTCCAAAGACAAAGGCAAAGAATTTTGAAAAGCAACAAGAAAGAAGTGGCTCATCATATACAAGGGATATTAGATAAGATTAACAGCAGATTTTTAAATCAAAATCTATGGATATCAGAAACCAATGTGAAGACATATTCAAAGAACTGGAGATAAATTGTCAAGCAAGAATTTTATACCCAGAAAAAACTATCCTTCAATAATAAAGGATTATTAAGGAGAAATCAAGATATTCCCAGAAAAACAAACAAAAAAATAAAAATATTTGTCACTAAAATGTCTGCCCTACAAGAACTTCCTATTAGAGGAAGTTGCTCAGGCTGAAATAAAGGGACACTAGGCAGTAACTTGAATCTACATGAAGAAATATCATGCACCAGTAAAAGTAATCACATAGATAAATATGAAAAACAGTATAAATGTGGAAGTTTTTTGCTTGTAACTTTTTGTATCTTCCTATCTTATTTAAAAAAATCATAAACCAATAATTATAAGTCTGTGTTGATGGGCACAACATGTTTAAATATGAAATTTGTGAAATAACAGCATAAAAGGGGACAGAACTAAAAATAAACTACTTTTTCATGTACCATTAAAATGAAATTGCTATCAATTCAAACAAGATGGCTATAAATTAATATTTTAATTATAATCTGATCTCACAAGTGCATAAAAAACAAACAAAAAAGGGAATTAAATTGATACAGTAATAAATATTTATTTAACACAAAAGCAGGTAGTAAGATAAATATAGAAAAAAAAAGGATATAAGACATATAAGAAAAGAAATAGGGAAATGACAGACATAAAATCCTACCTTATTAGTAACTATTTTAAAGATGAATTAAATAAACTTTATTAAAAGACAGAGGATGGCTAAATGCACAAAAACATGATTTAATTATATGTTTCCTGTAAGAGAGCACTTTAGTTTTAAACACACAAATAGTTTAAAAGCAAAAAGGTGGGAAAAGCAATACCGTGAAAACAGTCACCAAAAGAGACCTGAAGGTGCTATACTAATACCAGATAAAATAGACTTTAGGATGAAAAAATTAGCATAGATAAAATGATACTTTATAATGGTAAAAAAGTAATTCATCAACAAATATAGCAATTATTAACATATATGAACCTGATGCCAGAGTTCAAAATATATAAAGCAAAAACTAACACAATTGAATGAAGAAATAGATAATTCAACAATAATAGTTGGGAACTTTAATATGCCAGTTTGAATAATGGGTAGACAAACTAAGCAAAAAATTAGTAAGGAAATAGAAGACTTGAAGAACACTGTAAACCAATTTGACCTAACAGATACCTATAGAATACTCCATTCAACAACAGCAGAATATATATTCTTTTCAAGTGCACTTTGAACATTCTGCAGGATAGACCATATAGAAATCAATAAAACAAGTCTAAATAAATTTAAAAGAATGGAAATTATACAAATATGTTCTCTGATCACAATTGAGGGAAACTAGAAGTCAATAAGAAATAAATTTGGGAATTTTACAAATATGTGAAAATTAAACAACATATTCTTAACCAATGAATCAAGGAAGAAATCCATGCAAGAGAAATTAATAAATACTTACATATTAATAAAAAAGAAATAAAACAGAGGATGCCGTAAAAGCAGTGCTAAGAGGGAAATTTATAGCTATAAAGATTATATTTAAAAAGAAAAAAACTCAAACCAATAACTTAACCTTCTACCTTAAGACTAGAACAAGAAAACTATGCTCAAAGCAAGCAGAAGGAAGGGAATAATAATGATTAGAGCAGAGATAAATGAGTTTAAAATTGTATTGGCAGTACTAGCCAGGGAAATTATGCAAGAAATGAAATAAAAGACATCCAGATAGGAAACAAATTATTAATAGCTAGTGGTGATGACTGCATAACCTTATGAATATACCAAAGCCCACTGATTTATCCACTTCAGTGGTGCATTTATGGTATATAAATTATATCTCAATGTTATAAAAAGGAGTCAAACAGACCTTTATAGAAGATGTTTGCTTAAAAAACACAAAACTCTTAGATTAACCATTTTTCCCTGACTTGCTTCCTTTGTCTTTATGTGAAATCGTTTTATTGTTATATCGTGACTCACGGGTTTCCATTTTCATGTCTCTCTAGCTCATATTGAGAAACATGAGGAATTAGTTACCTTGGGAAGCCCAGATTCCCATACAATTAGTGAGGGCCAAAAATCTTCGGCAACTTCCAAGACAACAAGAAAAGGCAAAGAAAAGTCTTCTGAGAAGGAAAAGACAGCCAAAGAAAAACAAGCACCTCGCTTTGAGCCTCAGGTGGGTGTGGTATTTTTTAAAAATTGAGTCACTTAATGAATTTAGGTCCATTGCTTAATTGCCTAACTCTCTTGAGGACAAAACTGAAAAATTCTATCTCCCTGATTCCAGCAACCATCCAAATACCTTGAGAACACTTGGTGGATATCTTCCCAGGCTTCCTTTTCCAGTTCAGTTTTGAAAAGCATTCAATGAACTTTTAGTATATAGAATACTTTTATTGGGACTTGGGCCTCTAAGATTAATATGATCTAGTCCCTACTCTAAAAGAATTCACAGTCTAATGGAGGAGACTAAAGATAAACAAAGAGTTTTAATGTTAGATGTCACAGATAAAGTGGTAGAAAGCATAGGTTCTAATCCAGCCTCTCCCATGGCTGGTGTAGTTATTAATCCACAGTGACTGTTAAAGAGCAAGAAGTGTATCTCCCGGGTTTCCGGCAGGATTAACTAAGTAAGATGTTGATATTACTGGTAAAATAGGCAATGAAGGAAAATTATTAATAGCCAATAAGGAGAAGTGATGATGATTCAGTTATTCCAGATTCCAGAAGGGTCCACTTGCATTTGAAAGATTTTATTTCCCAGCTGAAGTCTACCCTTGGAAGTGAAGTAAATCAGCATAACTCAACCCATATATTCCTACAAGACATGTGGCCCTCCTGTAGTATCTTCGCAGTGCTCCCTTCCCTCATCAAAACTGGATCAATTTATCAGAACGGTTTCTGATAAACTCATTTGTCAAGCAATTTAAAAATGATAAAAGCTAATACAATGTGTTTTAAAAGGAAGAAATAAAAACCAAATCTCCAATTGTGAGATTTGGTCCTTACCAGAAGATTAGGGGGATATTGCAATTCGGTCCTTACAAGAATGTTAAGGGAAGGCTGTAGGACGTAAGGTGTTTTTGGTAACACTGAAACCAAAGTGCACGTGAAAACTTTATTCAGGGGCTGTACCAATTCCCCCTTCCCCAGCCGCATTATTTGACATAGATAATGGACACAGTCTCAGCCTTATGTAAAGTGATGTGTAACCACATCAGTTTCAAGCCTCTCTTCCTATCCAGTTGCCACCAATAATCCCCACCTATGCAGAAATTGTCAAGCCCTATATCAATGTGTTTCCAGTCTATGGTCCACTCAAGTGACCCTAGGAGACATCGAAATGTTGTTAGCTTTCATAACGGATATATAGCAAGTATGTGCAGACCTGGAAATGATCAGTCGTCCTGTCATTTTTGTGGCAAGGATATATAAGTGGGCATAAGTATAATTTAAAACCAAAAAAAAATCAAACTAAAAAAATTTAGAACAAAAAAACTGTTTTTTGTTCTAAATTATACTTATGTACAATTTGTATACAATGAAATGCACAAATTTTAATTGTATAATTCAATGAGTTTGACAGATATATTCACCATGTAATTCACGTCCTTATCAAGATAAGGACACTTGTGGATCACTTCCACAAGCTCAGAAATACCCTCAAACTTCCCTTCAATCACCCCCCACCCCATCTCCCAGTAAGCACTGATCTTTCAGTCACTATAAATTATTTTTGCTTGTTGTGGGATTTCATATAAATGATTCATACAAGATGTACTCTTTCGTGCTCAACTTCATTCAGTATAATGTCTTTCCATGGTGTATATTAGTAGTTTATCACTTTTAATGTTAATTAGTACCCAATTATATGAATATACTACAATTTGTTTATCCATCCCTCAGTTGATAGTCATTTATGTGTTTTCCTTTTTGTGTTATTATGAATAAGACTGCAATGAACATTCTTGTTCAAGTATTTTGTGAATATAAGTTTTAATTTCTCTTGGGTAAAATACCTAACTGTGAAATTATGAATCATAAGGTAAAATCTAGACCCTTATGAAAGGAGGAAAACCTCCTACCCACAGGCTTTTAATTTATTTTATCAGGCATCCACTGTGCATGCTCAGCCAGAAGATCCAAATAAACCCTACTGGATTTTGAGGTTGGTCACTGAACACAGTGAATCGGAATTATTTGAAGTGAAAAAAGATACAGAACGAGCAGATGAAATCCGAGCCATGAAGCAAGCCTGGGAGACAACTGAGCCAGGAAGAGCAATCAAGGTCACCTGGCTTTGAAAAGCTGTCATTTTTTTTTTTTTTTTTTTACTTTTCATCCATAGGAAAGGTCTGAAAAAAAGAGTCATGCTGGTCAAACTACAGTCTTTCTTTTAGAAATGGTATCTGGAATTTTATCAGACATTGATTAACCAGATATTAAGATGTTAAGATATTAACATTGTGAAATGTTACCCTCTTGATAATCAAAGCAGAGTACACACGATGGTGCCACTTACAGACCCAAACTATGACTTACTTCATTTGTTTACATAGCCCTGCCTGTATCCACGTCTGCCCTTAACAGTCCCATGCAAGAAAGAAAGTATAAAAATGTTTCCATTCTGAATATTATTCAATCCTAAGAAATGACTGTGAGCTAGCACCGTTTATGCTATCCTGGATTAAGTTTAAGCCCATTATCCAAAGTGAGGTGACACAAGACATGGAAAATGGGCCCCACATCTACTCACCATCAAATTGGTACTGACTGATTAAAACTATGGTTTTCAAATGGTGACAATGCTCACCAGGGATTGGGGGGACCCAATCTTAGGGATGTGACGAGCATTTTGGAGGGGAAGGGCATAACTCTAACCCTTCTTAGGGAGAGGCAAAGATATACAATGTAACCAAAATGTTAAAAAAAAAAAACCAAATAAACAAAAAAGGAAAAAGAAAACTTTTTATCGGATGGTGGGCAGGCGGGAGGGGGGAGGAGGAAACGGGTGTATGCTTACATAATGTGTGTGGGCACACCACCTGGGGATTGGACACATCGTGGGGAGGGAGGGGGGCAGGGGCAATATTTGTAACCCTAACAATATTTGTACCTCCATAATATGATGAAATAAAAGGAAAAAAAATCATATTCCTAAAGATATTGCAAATTAAATCATATTTTAGGTTTGCCAAACTCTGTTGAATATTTGAAGTTGTCTTAGAATGAATTTTCTTCAGAAGTAAAAACTCCCTTATAAATAATCATCACCAAATATAGTTGGTAAATTTAAAATGCCCTAGTTCAATGAGTTCAGACCATGGCAGATGAATTTTGACTTAGTTGAATTATAGATATATAGATAATTTAGCTAACATTTCCTGTCATACGTAGTTAATAAATGGGGCAGGTTCATATTCTTTTATTTTTATTTTTTATTTCAGCGTATTACAGGGGTACAAACATCTTGGTTACAAGTAATGACTTTGCCTCTCTCCAAGCCAAGGTGTGCCCTTCTCTTCTACAGTGTGCACCACATCCACAAGAGCGTTATTGCCCCTAGTGTGATGTTGTGACTTCAACATATAAGAGAAGACAATCAGTTTAATTGATTAAAGTCAAATGGTAAAATTAAAAAAAAAAAATGTTTCCATTCTGCTTTCCCATGCTTTCAACAGCCTTAGATAGCTAGAATGCACGCTGCCCCCTTGTGGAACATGCACACCTCGTGTCTCGCCACTGTATTTGCTAGTGTCCTCTCCGTGGTGAAACCTGTTACTTCTTCCATAAGTGCTTCATGTTTCAACTCAGAGGCACTGGAGCAGAGGAAAAAGATTCAGGTGCAACTGACTCTAAGATAACACGCCCAGCTTGTTTGTTTTAGGACTGCTGCTTCATTCATTCTCAAATACAACTGTGACAAAATTATGGATGGTTCAGAATTTGAGTTTATTTGACAATGAAGAAGAGCTGGCCTGGTTCAAACCGCCCCACTCAATTCACATGTCCCTGGTTGGAGATTGAGTACCGTTAATACAGTCGCCGCCTGTACGGGCTGCTGATGTTCAAGAGCTGAAAAGGCTGCTCCTGTTTGCTCTCTAGGCTGCGCAGGCTCGTTTGCATTACCTCTGCCGGTTCATCCAGAAGCCGAGCGACACCGACAGCGCGCCGCCTGTGGCTGAGAGCCAGACCAAACCCGCCGAGGAAGGTCAGTGAATCCCGCCCCAGCTGCCGCAGAGCACAGGGCTGTTACTTGCACCTCTTAAAAATCAGTCAGTGAGTCATGCTTGGTAAAAAGGAAACATTTCAGAATCTCTTTTCTTCAGGGTTGTAAAAAGTCGCGCAATTTCAGATAACTGTGTGAACAGCACTCCAGTTATCAAGTCACTTTCACTCATTTTCTCATTTAGTCCTACATTTCCTCCCCCTCAACACACAGACAGGTAAATATGAAACCAGAGATAAGAGTGCAACCCAGTTGGAAGGTAGCAGTGTGGAACTTGAAGGCAGGCCTACTACTATAATACTGTCGCCTTTCTAATAACAAAATAACATGAAGAATTATAAGAATAAAACTAACTTAGTTTATTAAGTGATTGCCTTGGGCCAGGCACTATGCTTTATATTATTTATTTATTTTAATGCTTACGTCAATCCATTGAGGTATATAATATTATTTCCAATAAGGACAGTGGCATAAAGAGTGTCAGTAATTTTTTAAGTTCACAAGATACCCAGAGACAGAGCCAGCCTGAGACAGGGCCCTCTCGGACCCTAGCATCTTCTAACAGCCCTTGACTGTTCCATCTTTCTCAACACTGGTCTGTCCACAGAGGCTGAGCACATCCACATCCCAAATCGTGCTTCTCCATTTTTATATCTTCAGGAATGTAATGTAATTCAATAATTGTTACACAAATAATGTCTCTTAACTTTTCATAGGAACAGTGTGAGCAGCAAGCATCACCCTAATCCTACGATCCTGGGATGGGCACTGTGCCAAGCATTTCATGTTCATTATCTCACTTTAACCTGTAGCAACTCTGAAGCAGATGTTACTATTCCCATTTCACAGATAAAGGGATGGAAGTTCAGAGGGTCACCTTTTTCTTCCTAAGTCATTCATCTAGAAAGTGAAAGATTCGGGATTTGATATATTTCTAACTCTTAAAGTACTCACTCCTCTAATAGAGTGTAATATAATGTTACAAAAAAAGAAAAAGGTGAATAAGATTAAGTTTTTATCTTTTTGCTATAGAGTTTATTTTTTTAATTTGTATTAACATAGATGTAAAGAAAATTATACTGGACACATTAAAAATGACCAAAAAACTTTATTAAAGGCTACTGAAACAGGGAAGAGAGATTGAACTCAACTCAGAATAGAATAGCAAGTGGGGATTTATAGCCAATAAGGCCAGGAAAGGTAGTGGATGGGAAATTACCAAGAGGAACTGGATTGGGTATCAATAGTGGGTGGACTCTGGGTAAATTGACTTAACAGGATTCTTTGCTAAAATGGAGTGAGCAGGCCAAGGACAGGGCCTAGTGAAGGACTTAGGGGGGGCCTGACTTTGGGCTGTAACATACACACAGTAACAGCACAAATCTTAACTGTACAGCTCAATTAACTTTTGCATATGTACACACTCAGTAGCCACTGTTCAGATCAAGATATAAAACACCACGTCCCTCAAGTCCTCCACCTTTTCCTCCCAGTCCCTTCCTCCCTCAAGGTAACCACTAGTCTAACATCTGTCACCATCAGTTAATTTTTGCCTATTCTTGAACTTCATCAGTTTAGACTCATATGTACTTTATAGGTCTCACTATTTGGTTTTTCTATTTCTTCCTGTGTCAGCAATAGTAAACTGTGTTTTACAAGAAATTTATGTATTTTCTCTAAGTCCAACTTCCTGGAGTAAATTTTATCTTTACCTCTTTTTTTTTTTTTCTCAGTCTTGCTCTAGGGAGTGCATTAATTTTAATAATGTTTTTAAAGAAAAAACTTTCGACTACTGAATGTCTTTTATTTCGATATTTCTTCATATTCTTAAGCACTACCTTATCTACTGCCTTTCATTCAATGCAGATTATAACATGAATTTGATTACCTGCAATTGATAAGTAGGGAAAAAATGTATAATGTGGAAGTCATGGTAGGTTTTACACAGTTTTTCCTGGACCTAGGAATCTGGAATGATGGGAATAGAATATAGGGTTAAGGAAAAACCTCCCAACTTTACAACTTTACAAGCAAGAGCTCTTTTCAGCCCTATTTTAGTATAATTTTGAACAAGTGCCTGCACACAGGGCTCCCTCTCCGGGAAGGATACCCCATTCCTGCACAAGCCCGGTTGTCAGCACAGGGCCAGTTGCCCTTCTTCCAGGGCCAATGTTAATGGCAGCTCCAATAGTTCAAAGATATCATTTCCTTTTCTATTGTCTCAGCTCCTAAAAGCCTCTTGTTTTAATGTGAAGTTTTAATCCTGAAGCGGCTACCAGATGCACTGCCCACCTGGGCCAACTACCATCCTTTGAGGCACCAATTGTTGTTTTTCTGTGCTCTGGTAAGAAGTTGCAAAGCTTTTGAGTCATCTGCTCCAAATCTATGCTCCTATGAGCAAGCCCTGTTACTTGTTGCATGTGATTTCATAGAATGCATGCTTTCTCAGTAATGCACATGTCATGTTGTAGTAGAAACGCCTGCAAGTGCTGTAAAAGAGCCAGAGGTAAAGAATTCTGTGGGTTCAGAGAGGAAAGAGATGACAGGGAATGTGGTGTGGAAGAGGTGGCAGATGACCAAGGGCTTGAGGTATCTGGCAAAATCCCTGAGCAGTGACAGTGATGGAGCATCCTCATCAGGGAAGGAAGAGCGGAAGGAAGAAAGCAAGCAGAGTGCGCATAAGGAAAATATAAGTAAGTATTGCTCCTGTTGGTAAGATAAATATGTATTTTCAAATAAACACTCTGGAAAAGATTTTTGCTTAAGCATATATTATGGCTAGGACTATAAAAGTAGAAAAATATGTGCTTTAGATTCATAGGTCTTCATTTTACTTAACAGAGTTGGTAATTTGCTCAAGGACCTGATTACTAAATACTTAACTGCATGATAAAAGTGAGGAAAAAAAAAACAAATTGGCAGGTATATTTTTCCATTTGTAGGTTTTCTTGGTGTACAGATGTTAAAAATGTCAGCCATCACATGTACAATTGTCATTAACATAGATCCTTTTTGATTTGCCTGTGGTATGCTGCATGATAGATTTTCTTTATAACAAATCTTAAGGATTTAGTGTCTAAAATGTTGAAAAAGAGCAATTTTCAGTGGTTAACAAGCCAGACTGACTTGATTTATTTCTGTATGGATTCATATTTGTTCACTAAAGTAAAACTAAATCTTTGATGGAAGGGAAATGCCTTTACATACTCCATGAGGAAGAATTATCCCTAAGCAACTCTTGGACTCTTTCTGTCCCAAAAGGGACTAAGTGTCTTCCCTGATTGATACATTTGGAAAGAATGACTTGGGCTGCCCTTGGGAGCTAGAGTCCCCTGCCCCTGCCTGAGCTAGGAGCACTGCCTGTGCCCGCACTGGAAGAGTTGGTCAGCTCCAGGCTTCTATGATCAGGCCTCATTCATTGTCTCACATCAACCTATGTCCTCCAATTACACTGTATCAATAGCAAAATTTTACTCTTTGTTTCTCTGCTAGCTCTGAACCCAGGCAGGAAAGAAGGATGTTTTGGAAAGAAGCATTCTCAAAAACACCACAAGGATTCTCTTCTCAAAACTGCTAAATCATTCTGAGAATTTTAAAATTAAGAAATGTTTAAGACTAAATCATGTCCTTGAATGATTTCCATAGTAAGAGTAAAATTGCAAAATTCAAAAGACTCTTTCACAATACTAACAAGAGATTCTGATACTTTTGAACTGATATTTTGAAAGTAAGTGCCCATTTAATAGGTAATAACTCACATGATATTAGTACTAAAACTTATTAGAATTCCTTTCATCTAATATTAATATTTAATTCATAGAGTGATTTTGCAAGTCTTAGTATTTAAGCTTCTATGAATTAGAGAAAGCATATACTGTTATCTCCACTTCATAAATGAGGGCATTGATAAATGATTCACCCAAGGGCAAGAAGATGATGCAATTTGGATAGAACCAGGACTTTAAATCTGGTTCTTTGGACTCCATATATTGTGATCTCTAACTGAACACAAATTTTTCCCGATACTTAGTTAATTTAAAGATCTGTAAAATTTTTTAAAAATGTAAATAAAACAGTGCAATTTAAATTCTGGTATTAAATTGGTTATTTATATAGTGACAAGATAATCTTTTTTAAAAGAAGTTTTATTTTTAATTGATAATTTCATATATTTATGGGGTAAAATGTGATATTTTGTTACATGTATACATTGTGGAATGATCAAATCAGGGTAATTAGCATATTCATCACATCAAATACTTACTATTTCTTTGTGGGGAAAACATTTAATGTCCATTCTTTTAGCTGTTTTTGTTTTTTTTTTTTTTTTGAGACAGAGTCTCACTCTAGTTGGCCTGGCTAGAGTGCCGTGGTGTCAGCCTAGCTCCTGGCTCACAGCAACCTCAAACTCCTGGGCTTAGGCAATCCTTCTGCCTCAGCCTCCTGAGTAGCTGTGACTACAGGCATGCACCACCATGCCCAGCTAATTTTTTCTATATATTTTTAGCTGGCCAATTAATTTCTTTCTATTTTTAGTAGAGATGGGATCTCGTTCTTGCTCAGGCTGGTCTCAAACTCCTGAGCTCAAATGATCCACCCGCCTCAGCCTCCCAAGAGTGCTAGGATTACAGGCATGAGCCACGGTGCCCAGCCTCTTTTAGCTATTTTGAAATACACAATACACTATTTTTAACTATAGTCACCAGTCTATGCAATGGAATACCAGAACCTGTTCCTTCTATCTCACTGAAACTTTGTACCCTTGACCAACATTTCCCCTTTCCCTATCCACTGCCCTCCACCCACATAACCTCCAGCCTCTGGTAACTGCCATTTTAGTCTCTAGTTCTATGAGTTTAACCTTTTAGATTGCACATATAAGTGAGATCACGCAGTATTTGTTTCTCTGTACCTGGCTTATTTCACTTAGCATAATGTCCTCCAGGTTCATCCCTGTTATTGCAAATGACAGAATTTTCTGCCTTTTTAAGGCTTAATAGTGTTCCACTGTGTGTGTATATATATATATATATATACCACATTTTTATAATCCATTCATCCATCAATGGACACTATAGTTCCATATCTTGGCTATTATGAATGATGCTGAAGTGAACATGGAACTGCAGACATCTCTTTGACATACTGATTTCAGTTCCTTTGGATATATAGCCAGAAATATGATTGGTAGAGCATATGGTAATCCTACTTTTAGTTTTTTAAAGAACCTCCATACTGTTTTCCAAATGGCTGTATTAATTTACAATACTACCAACAGTGTACCTGGGTACCCTTTTCTCCACATCCTTGCCAAAGCTTATCTTTCATATTTTTAATAATAGCCAATCTAACAGGCATAAGGTGGTATCTCATTGTGGTCTTTATTTGCATTTCTCTGATAATTAGAGATGTTCAGCATTTTATTCATATATCTGTAATTTGTTTTTCTTCCTTTGAGAAATGTCTATTCAGGTCCTTTGTCTATTTTTTAATCCAGTTGTTTTCTTGTTATTCAGTAGTTTAAATCCCTTTTATATTTTTTATATTAACCCTTTACCTGATACATGATTTGTAAATATTTTCTCTCAATTTATGGATTGTTTCTTCACTGTGTTAATTGCCTTCTTTGTTGTGCAGAGGTTTTTAGTTTGATACAATCCCACTTGTCTATTTTTGCTTTTGTTGTTTGTGCTTTTTGGGGTCATACCCAAGAAATTATTGCCCAGACCAATGTCAGGGAGCATTTCCCCTATGTTTCCTTCTAGTAGTTTTACAGTTTCAGGTCTTATGTTTAAGTATTTGATCCATTTTGAATTTATTCTTGTTAAAGTATAAGATAAAGGTCCATTTTCATTCTTATGTACATGGATATTGTTTTCCCAAGACCATTTATTGAAAAGACTATCTTTTCCTGTTGTGTGTTCTTGGCATCTTTGTTGAAAAGGAATAGATTGCAGGTGTGTATATTTCTGGGCTTTCTGTCCTATTCTATTGATTGATGTGTCTGTTTTTATGCCAATACCATGCTTTTTTGATTACTATATCTTTGTAATATAGTTTGAAATCCTGTAGTGTGATACCTCCACACATAATGTGATGATCTTTCTGGTCAAGATTTACTTGACCACAAAAGACTTGGGGTCTTCTGTGGTTCCATACAAATTTTAGGAGTATCTTTTCTGTTTCTCTGCAGAATGACATTGGAATTTGGATAGGGATTACATTGACTCTGTAGATTGCTTTGGGAAGTTTGGACATTTTATTATAACAATATTAATTCTTCCAGTCTATGAACATGGGATAGCTTTCCATTTATTTGTGTCATCAATTTCTGCTATCAATGTTTTGGCCACACCAACCTCCACCCATGCAGGCCCCTCTGTACTCTGAAGCTAACAAGGTAATCTTTAAATTGAGAAACTGAATGTAATCATGATTCTTAATTTCACACCAGCCTGAGGGCAGTTACAATGTAGACTTCATTTTTTTTCCCAGAGCCACAGACCAGTGTTGGGAGACACGCCAGTTTGAACCCAAGTTTCAGCTCACCTCCTCCTCATTTCTTCACATTGTTGGTCATCAGAATCTTCAGGCATTTTCGTTAAAGTCAATGTAATTGTGAAGGAGTGTACTTTTGGGTGAGGAAGAAAATAAGGATAGGAAAGACAGGTAAAAGTCAGTAGGAAAGGAGGACCCTATAGCCAGGCATGGTGGCACATGGCTGTAGTCTCAGCTATTTGGGAGGCTGAGGCAGGAGAATTACCTGAGCCCAGGAGTTTGAGGTTGCTGTGAAGTAGGCTGATGCCACAGCACTCTAGCCCAGGCAACAGAGTGAGACTCTGTCTCAAAAAAAAAAAAAAAGGGAGGCCCCTAGCCAAAGAAGCCTGAAACAAAAAAAGTCTTCAAAACATTTCTCATTTAAAAACATTTATTATCATTTTAATTCAATACATTAAATGATAAATTTAATTGCATACCATCAAAGAAAACTGACTTTCTTTCCCTTCAAGGAGAGGTGTGCTGTTGTGTGATTCCATCACTGAAACACTGCCATGCACCGCAGGAGCCATGGTTGTAGAGGAACCCTGATGAGACCATGGGTTCAGGTGTCCAGCTGTTCTCGGGAACTCTGCATGTCAGCCCTTGTGTGCTGTTCATATACCCCCACCCCCGGGCACTCATTCCAGGAGAATCATCAGTCGTAAGAGTGGCCTCTACATTCCCATAGATAATTGTAACTCCCTTATGCATGCAACTTCCTATTTTCATACATTACATAATGTATAATAAAACAGTTTCCCTCATAATGTCAGAGGACATGTCAGCCATGGCATTATGGATCTCACTCCTGAGCGTTCTTCCCCAACTGTGAGCATCATCAAGATCAAACATCCAGTCATTGCTTTCATTTCCCCTTTAGTTTCTGGGTGTCTCGGAAAGTGCCTCTTCCAGAGATTGAAGGTGATCTTCGCCTATATCCCCAAATCTTTTTCCCTGGCTTTGCAGTCAAAATATTTCTCACCATTTTTTTTCAAACATTGACTCTTACACTATGTATGATGAAAGAAGTTTTTTTCCACCTGTCTGTTGCAAACTAAATCTTTTGTAAAATATAATAAAAATGACCCAGAAGTTTCTAGTTGCCACACAAAATATTTCTAAATGCATTCTCTCACTTTTAGAATTTATCCCACAGTGGACCAGTTTGGAGATAGAAGACAGTACACATGTACACACACACACTCACTTTGATGGTATTGTTCTAGAGGCCCAAGACCATCACACCAGACTCATACCCTATTCCTGTGTGTGTGTGTGTGTGTGTGTATAAGAAATTTGGCAAGATGTAAGAAAAATCAAACATCTAATTGATCAGAAATATTTTCTTTCTAATCAGAGTCAGTAGAGTTGGTGTCTTTTAGAAACAATCCAATTTAGATAGATTCACAAGAAAAGCAAATGAATTTTAGAAATCTAAGATATCATGGTAATCATGATCGAAAAAGAAAAGCGTTCCTCCTGGATGCTATAGGGAAGGATCTGTTTCCTTCTGCAGCTTTTAGGGCCACCTGACTCTTTGGCTGCAGCCTCTTCCGCATAGTCACAGCCAGCAGGAGAGCATCTTCACATCTCTCTCCCTCATTCACAATAGCATCAATAATAAAAGTTTGGGAATAAAATTTTATATTGAAAACTTCAAAACATCACCACAGGAAATTTTAGAAGATCTAAATAAAGAGTCAATCCTTTGGACTAGAAGACTCAGTTGTTCAGACAGTAATCCTCCTCCAATTGATCTATAAATTCAGTGTAATTTCCATCAAAATCATGGTAGACATTTTATAGAATTTGATAAGCTAAATCCAAAACTTACATGTAAATGCAAAGGACCCAGAATGTCCAAAATAATTTTGAAAAGGAAAAACCATATGGGAGGAGAACTTCCTCAACATGATAAAGAATACCAACAACAACAACAAAAAAAAACCTATAGCTAACATCATACTCAATGGTGAGGAACTGGAAGCTTTCACACTAAGATCAGAAACAAGCCCAAGATGTCCTTTCTCACCATTCAGTTTCAACATTGTACTGAAAAATCCTAGCAAATGCAATAAGACAAGAAAAGGAAATTAAAGACATACTGATTGGGAAGGAAGAAATAAAACCATCTTTGTTTGTAGATGGTGTGACTGTGTAACAAATGTCCCACTCTGATGGGGGAGGCTGTATATGTGTGGGGAAAGGGGCCTATGGGATATCTCTGTATCTTCCTTTCAATTCTACTATGAACCTAAAACTGCTCTTAAAAATAAAGTCTTTTTTTAAAAAAAGAATCAAATGGGGAGATTTGATTTTGTGATTTCAAAATTCATTATGTAGTTAACAATAATAATCAAAACACTATGATTTGACAGTTTCTTAAAAAGTTAAACATAATTTTACCATATGACTCAGAAATCTACTCCTACACAAATAAAATATCTAGGAAAAACAAATCTGTAGAGGCATAAGTAGATTAATGGTTGCCTGGAGTTTGTGGCAGGAATAGTGACTATAAAGGTGCACAAGAGATCTTATTTGGATGATGGAAATATGTTAAAACTAGATTTTGTTGATGGTTGCACAACTTGGAAAATTTACTAAAAAGGCTTGAATTAGACCCTTATAGTGGTGAATTTAGTGGCATGTAAATTATGCTTCAATAAGGTTTTTGGGTTTTTTTAAGAATTAGATAAAGTGGTCTGGAAAGGCTGAAAGGTTTATATCTTAGTCTCTTAAATCTGTCCTTATGGGCTTATGGAGTAGAAAGCTTCTGCTAATTTGATTTTCTGTGTTTACCTTTTATATATTGCCTACTCCACTTGACTAAAAGTTTCTTGAAGGTAAAATACTGTTTTCAGTATTTCACTATAAATGTTTTTTACATATTTATATCCCAACTCCCATAGTGCTTACTATAACGTTCAGATGGAGCCCAAAATCTTTAACTATTGGATCATTAACTTCTTTATAGTGAAATTTTATAACTTAAGACCTTTTTCTGGTCTCTTCCTTCATTTAATCTGATTAGAATGATATTTTGTTGCTCTTCTAATAAAGTATATTCATTTTGTCATCCCCTTCATTTAAATAAAGGTATAGTAACATCAGTTAGAGGATAAACATGAAATATAATTATATGATTATATTTTAATACAATATGAAATAAGGCATGTCCAATCAATGGTTGTTTTTTAACAGAAAATATTTTCAATTAAAATTAGATATAATAGTCATTTGCTTAGTGATGATTATTTTTTGAAAGCCTAGGTCTTTTTTTCTTTTTTAAACAGAGCCTCGTGTACGATCCCCAACAATTTTGGAAACATCTCCACGACTTATTCGAAAAGCACTAGAATTTATGGATTTCAATCAATATGTACGGTAAGTTTTAAGAAGCTTGATTAATACAGACAACTGTGTTTATAAAATTTTGGCTATATTGCCAATCGGCAGTTGCTAAGCAACTGAAAATTTGAAATTAAATGCTTAATATATCGTCCATGTTTCCAAATTTTTAGAAGTACAAAATTTTACATTTCAAATTTAGCAAATATTTTATTAAATCAATCATAAAAGCATTTAAATGTTTTCTGTAAAGATTTAATTTGAAACTTGATTAAAGTGAGTTGAGCTACAGAAAATTTCCATCATATCTGCTGCCATTATTTAATTAGATTCAATTTTTTAATAAATTAGATGATAGGATTAGTAGAGAGATAGCTACTCAAGCATATTCATAAGTTTGGAAACATTGTCAAAAGTATTTAGCTGCACAATTTGAAAGGAAAACCTAAAAAATTCTCCTGTTTCTGAACACCAATTCTATAGTTATCTCACCAAATGGTGAATCTAAATTTACTGATACCCTACAAAATGTTTCCCTAAAATGTCAGTGACTCAGTAAATGGAGCATAGCACATCTAAAAAATAATCATTTATTCTATTCCTAAAGTTTGATTTGATTCAGACCACCACACTCTTGATGTGACTCTAAACTATTTGAATTCTAAAGTAAAGTCTATTCCAGAGTTCTGAAATGTTTCATGTCTCTCTTTTGATGATTTGATATCAAGGAAATCAGAAAAGGAACCTCTGCTGCAAACAGATGAACTGAATCAGCAGCAGGCAATGCAAAAGGCAGAAGAAGTTCATCAGTTTCGACAGCATAGGACCAGAGTCCTCAGCATTAGAGACATTGACCAAGATGAACGGTTTAAGTTAAAGGATGAAATCCTGGATATGTATGGGGAAATGCGGGTGAGTCTAAAAGCACTTACCTAGATCACAGTTTAAAAATTCTTTTGTAATATTAGAGAAGAAATCATAGAATCATATATGTATGTAGAAAGAAGACTTGCAAACATTTTTTTCCACAATTCACTTCTGGGAAAAGACTGAAAATTGATTATACACATCTCATTTCACTTACTCCCTAAAATCCCCCTGAAATGCAGTACTGGAAATCTATCCTCAAAGATGGGAAGAATAGGAGAGACAACAACAACAAAATTATTTGTGAGGTTGGAAAATAGCTAGATCAAGACCACATTAATGGAGTTGATACAACCAAACCCTAAACCAGCAATGGGAATTTTTGACAATCAAGCCCATTTGCTAGGCAGAATATCTACAGAATCCCCACAAGGCTCAGCAGTTGGTGGCACCAGGAATGTTAGGAAGTGAAAATGAAGTAGAAGGAAGGTGAAATAGGCTTTTTTTGTTTTGAAACTATTTAAGAATTACAGATCACCACCTCAACTTTTTGTAGCCAGGTGCATGTCACCCCTCTACCCCCACAGAAGAATGGGAGGTACTTTATTTAGACATGCCCCCCCAAAAAAAACAAGAAAAGAAAAGAAAAAGGAATTCTGTACTATGGAAGACTATAAGCTTGATTTAAAATAGGACTATCACACCAAAAATGGAAAATTTGATAAATGTATATGGATGACTCTCTACTATGGAAGATGAGGATTGATTTTTTTCTTCACTCTTCCCTACAACACACATACACTGCCAAAGACACTGAAGCCTACAAACTTTCTGACCATTTTAGCCACGGCGATGTTGAGTTTTCCATGTCATTTCCAGCACTGGCCCATGTGAGGAATATGCCAATTTGACATCTCTTCTTGTTTGTCCCATAGGCACCTGACACTGAACCTGTCCAAATCCAAATTCCCTCTGTCCCATCTCAGCAAGAACATGTCACCTCTGCAAAGATTCTCTATCATAGTCATTGGCAACTGTACTCTTTTAGAAACTCAGAGCGGAGACCTAGGAGACATCCCTGACTCCTTTCACTCCTCACGTGTGATCCATTATCAAAATCTCTCGACTTTACTCTGAAAATCCAAAATTTGACCACTTCTCACTATCTCTGTCCCTACCACTTTAGTCCAAACCATCACTGTTTTCTATTCAGAAGATTGCTACAGCCCAGTAACTGACCTCACTGCTTCCACCTTTGCCCTTCTACAATGTGGTTTCTGCTCTGCCACCAAAGAATTGTACCAGTCAGCATAAACCACGTCTATCCTGTGGTAAAAGAAACCCCAATGTCACAAAAGCTTAATGTAGGGTTTGGCAAACTTATGTTCCCTAAAAGGGCCAGATCATAAATGCTTATGTAGCACCTTCCCAACTCTTCCATTGTTAACACAAAATCAAATATAATACCTAAAAGAATGGCATAATATCTAAATAAATAAAACTTTACTTAGAAAAACAGGCAATAAGCCAGATTTGTTTCACAAGCCTTAGTTGGCCAACCCTTGGCTTAAAAAAAAGAGAGAGTTTTCTCTTTTTTCTTTCCAGCTACATGTCCAGTGTACTTCATAGGGTGTTCTTCTTATCATATTTATTAAGATACCCAAGCTGAAGAAGGTTCCATATAGATACTTCTACAATGATTATTATGATATGGGAAGAGAATGTGGTGAATTGTACATTGATTGTTACTATTTCTGCACAGAAATGGAACATTCATTTCCGTTCATATTTCACTGGCCAAAGCCAGACACATGGTCAGGTACAACTTCAAAAAAGGAACTAACCTTGGTGACACCTTGATTTGAACTTGTAGCATCAAGAACTGTGAAGCAATACATTTCTACTGTTTAATGCACCCAGTTCATAGTACTTTGTTTACAATAGCCCTGGAAAACTAATTTAGAGGGCAATGCTACCATGTATCTGGAAGATAACTGGGAATATTTTATGAATTACACTAATGATTATTATAATACATCTTTAAAGTGAAGGATGGTATCATTTCACTTCTCTAATGGCTTCACATTTCACTAAGAAAAAAAGCCAGCATCTTAATTATGACCTCTAGATCTCCATATATCTTAGTACCCACTTTCCTCTGATTTCTCTCTGCGGTTCTGCCTCCTTTGCTCATCTTGCTTCTACCAAACTGGCTTTACCTTTCTACTAACAGCCAGCATGTTCCCACCTCTGCATCTTTGACCTTACTCCTATCTCTTCCTGTAATATCCTTTCCCCAGAGAGCCAAATGGTTTACCCATTCATTTTATGAAATCTCTCATCTATTTCACTTTATCAGAGAGAGAGACCTTCACTAGCTATCCTTTCAGAATTAGCACTCTCAACATCTGTATGGCTATGCCTGGTCTTATTTTTCTTCAAAGCTCTTATCCCACATGTGTTCTCATTTATTGGTTTAATATGGAAATGTAGATGTATTATATATATGTAGTATACATGATATACTATGCACACATTTTTAATCTGTCTCTACTAGAATATAGACTGTATGTTGTGAACAGGGACTTTGCTTTGATTCATTCCAGAGCCTGGGAGGGATGCCTGCTTCACAAAAGTTTATTTAATAAGTAAACCAGTAAATCTGTGAATGAATATTAAATTTGCACAAGTTCAATTTGTCATAAAGGAAATACTTAAAATTAAATTATAAGACAAAAGGGAATTTCAGGATCGCTATTTGTTTTTTCTGTGTTTAATAGACAAAAATGTAACAGGTGGGAAGGAGATGAGGAATATTAACTTGGAACAGCTTTGAATTCAGACCCCATTCATTTAAGTGTGAGGTACAAACACTCTAATTTTGATTGAAGCCATTTTAAAAGAAATGTGATCAGTAACATATTTCTTATCAAATAGCAGAAAGGGGAGGTTTTATACCCATTCCTCAAGGGATTGCTGATATCTATTAAACTTACTTTACCTAAAACCCTTAAGATCTCTCTCTCTCTCTCTGTCTCATTTTAATATGTCACTATTAGCATCTTATACTCATGCAATTGGTTTAGTGAATCCAATTTTATTATGGTAGATACAGTGCTTTTCTTTCATTAAAAGCTTTGGGAAGTCTGATTCTGACATTCAGCTATCCTAATATCTCAACAAAATCTTTCCAGTTGCAAAAACATAGAAAATGTCTTGAATAATTCAAGGATAAAGACAAAGTAGTCATGTCTAGAAGGTTCTCTTCAGGCTAGCATCCATTCATCAATTCTTATCCTTTGATTATATCACGTTTGAAATAGTAAACCATCAATGTGTCCACTTCCACATTCAGAGATGGAGGAGGAAAGGGGAGAGCAGCTCAGGTGACTGGAAGGGAGCTGCTGGTGAGGTAGAAGAGAAATGACAAAGGGTGCGATGTCCAGGAAGCCACATAGGGTCAGTCAGTCCAGGAGGAATGTGGTTAAGCAAGAATAGGACCAAGAAATGATCATGGATTTAGCTACATTTAGGTCACTGGTGTCCTTGAGGAATACAATTTTGTTGGAGTGGGAAGAATGAAAGTCAAATTGACAACAAAAAAGATAACCAATGGATTAGGTGATATTATTTGCAAGTTCTTCAAGTGCAGCTCAGGTACATTTTGCCAAGATCAGAATACATGTGGGGAATTTATAGAGCACCGTTACTATATGAGAGACACTGGGCTTAATATTTTATATAGGTTGTATTTGAACTCATTTAAAGCAGAGTTCCTTTTGCCAAATCTCTACCTATTTTTTTCTTTACTTTTCTATTTTTCTCCTAACAATGCTTTTGTTTACCACATTGTATTAAAATCTCATGCACTCTTTGTTTACTGTAACATGTTTGTGTATTGATAAGCATTTGAGACCGTACCTAATTTTCACCTTTCATAATTTTCCACATGTATCTATTGGCATAAGGAAAAGGTAAAGGGAGTGCATTTTCTTTTTCTGGGACCATAAACTTTTATCAGTGGAACTTACTTGTCTGGGGTTTTGCTTTGGGCAGGACTCCTTAGATGAAGCCCGACAGAAGATCTTCAATATCCGGGAAGAGTACAGAAACAAGTTGCTGGAAGCTGAGCGCCAAAGGTTGGAAGTACTGGCTGCTCAGGAAGCTGCCATACGGGTAGAGACAGAAAAGAAGAGCCCAACTTCTGACACACAGAAAAAAAAGAAAGCAAAGAAAAAATAACCAGGAGATACCCAATACTACCCTTCTCCTGGAGAGAAAAGAAACTATTTTTAATGATCTGTAACTACCTGTTGATAAAACAAGATATAAGCCAATTGAAAATAAGGCTTTAGTGTCTTAGAAATATTTTCTATATTTTAATGTTAACTTGTTAGTTTCTCTCAGAAAGCTAGTATGTGAAGCCATTAGAGTTTAAAATGTTCTAATTTCAATAAAATTGCTTCCAAATACATAGAATGTAATAAGTTCTGTCACACTCTGAATTGCCTGCATTTTTAATCAGAAGTAAAGCAAGATCATAAATGAGTCAACAGGGTTGTCTTTGAAAACCTGGACAGTGAGAAACAGTTATTATTCTAAGGAGAAATTTTATCTTTATTTTAAAGATTTTAAAATACTAATAAAGATACTTGAGAATTGTTTCTTTTTTAAAGCTGAACTTTAATACACCTCTTTAATTGAGCAAGAACTATTCTGCTTCAGCCCACCCAAATTGTTCCTCAGTTTGCTTTCTTCTTCTAACAGTGTTCCCTTACTTTGAAGCCTGCTCTTCTGGATGTTTATTAGAGTTTTAAGAGGAATTTGCTGTATTGTAGGGTCAGTTAGAAGTTTTTTTTTTTGGTTCTCATCAGTCTCAATGAGGTAGATCTAAGCCTACTGCTGATCTGCATTCAGTGCATAACCACTAGTCCTCTTCATGGGACTTTCTTGTCAACCAGTTTTGCTAGCAATTTATCTGAGTTTCATTTTGTTCTGGGGGTAGAGTGGGTATGTGTGTGTGTGTTTGCTTTGTCATCACAAATTCATATGAATTTATAGTTTTCAGGAGGAGTTTTGGGGAGAATCAAAGCTATGATGCCAGCATTATCCCACCACTGGAAGAGTGTTATTTATTTCTAATTTTATTTGCTTATGATCAGACTATATGGTCTCTAGAATCTTTACTTCTCAAAAATTTATTAAGACTTTCTAATATGGAAATACCTCAAAGAACTAAAAATAGAACTACCATTTGATCCGGCAATCCCACTAATGGGCATCTACCCAAAGGGGGAAAAAAAAAAAAAGTCATTCTATAATAAAGACATCTACGCACGAATGTTTATAGCAGCACAATTCACAGTTGCAAAGATGTAGAAACAACCCAAGTGCCCATCAATACATGAATTGATTAATAAAATGTGGTATATGTGTACCATGGGGTTCTACTCAGCCATAAAAAATAACGGTGATCTAGCACCTCTTGTATTATCCTGGATGGAGCTAGAGCCCTTTCTTCGAAGTGAAGTTTTTCCATTCCACAAGAATGGAAAAACAAGCACCACATGTACTCACCATCAAATTGGTACTAACTAATCAACGCTGACGGGCACACATAGAAGTACTATTCATCAGGTGCCAGGTAGGTGGGAGGGGGATAGAGGGGATGGGTAAATTCACAACTAATGGGTGCAAAGACAATAAATGTAACCAAAATGTTTGTACTCCCATAATATTCTGAAATTTAAAAATTAAAAAACAGAAATCTAAAAAAAAATTAAGACTTTCTGTGTAAATGAGAAGTTTAAATTTTGTAAATGTGTAAGCTTATCTTAAATTTTACCTATATATGTACATATATATATTACACTGCTTGAAAAGAATGCAATTTTTAATTTAAGAGTAGCTTATGCATTTATGAAGTTTAATCCCTCAGAGTTTCACAGAAAATTACACATAAATTTTTTCAAGTTTATTTTAGTCAAATGTATTACTCAACTATTTGATTACTCTATATTTTTATTCAGTTTTAATCCACTTCATTTGTCCAGTGTTCTGATAGGCATGTTGTAGAATTCAACTATATTTTTCCTTAAGCTCTCTTTGTATTTAGAGCAATCTTTATGCTTTCAGTTGTGCTATCCTTCAAGAATATATTAAACTAAAAGGAATAAAAAGGTCAATTACCTTTGTTCAACTAGATATACGGATGATTTTCTTAATTGAGAAAAAGTTAACATCTCAAAATTTAGGGCAAACATCTCTGTGGTAATATTGCCTTACCTTTATCATCACAAAATGACTATTGGAGCTCCAACAAAGACATGTACAAGAGTATTCACAGTAGCACAATTCGTAATAATAAAAAATGGGAGAAAACTCAAATTTCCCTTAATGGTGCAATGAGTACATCAATACATCATGGTATTTTTGTATGATGGAAGACTATGCACTGATCAGAATAAAGAAACCACTTCTATGTTTCATACCATGGATGACTTTAATAGATATTTTATGTATTTAAGTTTCAACACCTAGGAAAATTGACCTAGGTGTTAAAAGTTATGATAATGTTTAAATTTGGGAGTGAACAGTATCAGGAATTGTCATGAGGGGATATTTAGGATGCTGACAATAATCTCACTATTGAAAAGCGATTGTAACACAGGTTGTTTATTTTGTGAAAATTTATTGACCAGTATACTTCTTATTTATATCTCTGTGTATATGCTATTTAGAGATAAGAAAGGTTAAAAATATAATAATATAAAAATATATACCTTGGAAACACTAGTCAAAAAGCTGATATTAAGCTGGGATAGCAAGGAGAGAAATCTCAAGAGATTAGAAAGAAAAAAAAAACCTCACTGGGTTTAAAATATGGAGTTCTGAGTTTAGAGAGAGAGACCAGGTATCTGCAATTCACATAGAGAGGGTCAAAACAAAGCCATAGAGAAAAAGATCTAAAGATGTGCAGATGAACCTCAGAAGGTTATAGCCTGATAGCCCTAGATCAAAGCTATTTTAAACCCACCCAACAGAGCTTTAAAGCAAGCCTTGAAAAGACTGAACCATTACCAAGGAACTTAACTGTGTCACAAAACAAATCCAAAGATATATTTAAAAGAATGCCAAAAAACTAAACAATGCAAAAAGCAAACAAATAAACAACAGTAACATAGTAAGAGATAATATAAAACAATGCCTGATATCCAATCAGATTTTATGAGGCAAGTAAAGAAGCAAAAAAACATAGTCCATAAAGAAGAGAAAAATGAATTAGCAGAAACAGTCTGAAAAATTAAATAACAAAATTAGTAAACAAAGCTGTTAAAAAAAGCTATGGTAAATAGACTACATATATTCAAGAAGAGAGAGAAAAGAATGAACAAGATAAACAAAGAAATACAAGGGATAGAAAAGAACTATATCAACTTATAGGAATAAAAATTAACTAACTAAAGAAATTTAATCCCATCACTGGGTAGCATTAAAAACAGATTAGATACCCAGAAGAAAAAATTATCAAGTTTGAAGACATAGCAATAGAAACTACCAGAGTGAAATACACAGGAAAAAAAAAAAAAAGACCAAAAATAATTTAACAGCAAACCAGTGAGTTCTGGGGCAACCTTAAATTGCTTAACATATTTGAAATTAAAGATCCAGAAGGAAAGCAGTGGTAGCATAAAGAAATTTTGAAGAATGGCCAAAATTTTTCCAAATTTGCTGAAAACTATAAACACTCCAAGAAATTTAACCAATGCCAAGCACAGGAAATGTGAAGTAAAACATACTGTGAAACATCACAACCAAATTGACAGAAACCATTTTATAAGGAGGCTAATCTTAAAAGCATCCAGAGGAAAAAATACCCATTAAATACAGAGAAATAACAGTGAAGATGCCATCCAACTTCTTAACAGAAAATATGCACAATAGAAGGCAATAGAATAACATGTTTTAAATAATGAAAAATATGAAGTTACAAAATTAATGAAAAAAAGTTTAACCTAGAATTCTAAGCACAGTAAAATTATTATTTAGAAATATTAGTATTTTATTTAGAAAGTATTGTATTTAGAAAATAAGTATTTTATTTAGAAAAACAAAAGCAGATAAAAATAATCATCTTAAGATCTTTACAACAATGAGTCTTAAACCTAAGTGCTTCAAGCAGAAGAAAAATTATACCAGATGGAAATTTGAATCTACACAGGTGATGAATACCTGTATTCATTTAACCGGTATTGTTAAATATATGAACTAATATAAAAGCCATTTTTTCTCATTTTTTAATCTTTTGAAAATATAATTGACAATTGCAAGCAAAAATAACCACAGTGCATCATGAGGTTTATAGCATACAAAGAAGTAAAATTAATATCAACATTTACTCAAAAAACAGGAGGTGGGGATGAAAGTAAACTAAGATAATGCTCTTAATACATAAAGTGATGGAAATTATTTGAATGAAGGCTGTGATAACTTCAAGAAGTGTATTGTTGATCTACAGCAACCACTAAAAAAACAGAGGTAAATACTAAGTAAATGAAATACAAAAAATAATTGAATTAATCCAAAAGAAGGTAGAGGGAAGCAAAGAAAAACTGGTAAAAAACCAGAAAAGAGATAGCAAGATTTTAGATTTAATAAATAATTTTCTACTAAATAAAAATATATATATAATGTCCAACTTTTAAAATAAAGGAAAAATAAAATATTTTATAATAAAACACTATGAATTTTGATATATAAATGCTCGGAGTGACTACATTAGAAATAATCCAATGCTTGCACTTATGTTTGGAGTCACTGTCACTGATAATGCAGTAGGTACAGAGGCAGCCTGTTTTATAGGTAGTTTGTAATTATGATTCAGATATTTTATAATGGGTTTGCCATTAATGACACATTTTCCAAATTGGTGAACAGCTCTTGGCTGTTCCTAAGACAACAGCTCTTGGCATTCCCCAAGACAACAATGCATAGTCTGTCCTTAAGGTACACAATGATTCAATTTCTGAAATGTTCAGTGAATATTAAAACTGTACAAAAAATATTTTGGTTTTATACACCTCACAGAATTAGGTTCTTGGATTATTAACTTGCTTTTCAACCACATGAATGTCAAGCCATTCAAATCATACAGAAGCTAAGACAATTCTCTGCTGCATATGATTTAAAAATTACAGTGTGTGTAACATCCTTGGCCTTCAAGCACTAAATATCAGTTGTTCTCCCTCGTTACCGGGACAACCAAAAATGTCCTGATGTAGTTCCTAAATATTCCCTAGCAGAGGCACTCTTCCCACTGAGAAAATCATCCCCACTTAGAAGAATAACAAAGATGACTGAGAAGCTGAGCTAGTAATGTCTATGGATCACAGCTAATAAGTGACTCTTGGAATACATGGCCATATACATATACCTCATTGTGTTGATTGAGTTAACCAAGGCATATCTATAAAGCAGGTCATACTTCCTACAATCCGTAGGC